GCCAGTTGCACTATATACAGTCATTGTATAACATGGCGTGGACATCTACGGTCACACTTATTTCAACAGACGGAAGGCAACTTTTCACTCGGAACAGGCTCAGCCATATAAATAAATTTATGAGCCGAGCTCTATGAATCAATGAATTATGTGTGATTGCAGCTGAACTAATTTAATCAGTATTAGAAATATAAATTTATAAATAATGATTAGTTCAGCTGCAATCACACATAATTCATTGATTCAACCATATATTACTAGACGCAGTTTTTCAGGCTGATCATGAATACTAACCCTAAACGCGCTCTTTAAAAGCTGAGTAACTTTAAGTCTGGCTGGAAAGAGGATATGCGAACTATGGTTTAGTCCAAGCCAGCTCTTATCAGACGTATTAACTTCAGCTATTTCCGACTTCATCTTTTTATTTTAATTATAATTTTATGTGGAATTTTCAATCAGTAACGGCCATTATCAACACAAAAATCTAGAGAGTTACACTGAAGAAGTAAAAATAAACTTATTTTATTCTTCATTTTCATTCTCATGACCCATTAACTCTGTACTTAATGAGAAAGATTATGCATTCAATTTTGTTTTCCATTCCTCCATCCTTTAATGTACACTTAAGATCTTATGTATATTAAAACCTGACCTTATTATCCAAAGGGTTTCTATCTAGTGGATTATTTTGCTGATATTAACCTCTCATCCTCAACCATTCTTGCTAAAACCCCCCTTTCCAATCCGTCTGAGAAATAGAGGGATATAGAGGGACTGATCTATCGACAGTATTGAGGGTTGGTGTATTAGCTCTAATCAATAATGATTCTTTTACTAGTAGACGATATCTATGTTGTTCGGACAGTAAAAGTCGAAAATCATTCCTTGTTATCATATGTCCTGTATTTTTTAAAGGATGGAGGAATGGAAAACAAAATTGAATGGATAATCTTTTCCATCAAGTGCAGAGTTAATGGATCATGAAAATGAAAATGAAAATGAAGAATAAAATAAGTTTATTTTTTACTTCTTCAGTGTAATTCTCGTTTTTTGTGTTGATAATGACCGTTACTGGTCGAAAATTTCACATAAAATTATAATTAAAATAAAAAGATGAAGTCGGAAATAGCTGCAGTTAATACGTCTGACTGAATTTTAAAATCGTTCCCCTTTACTGGTATTGAAGCCAACTCCTGTCAAGCGCTTTCGTCGTTGAGAAAAACATTGAAAAACCTTCCGTAATAAAAAGCAAAAATTAATGAAATTCTGTACAAGTCACTGTTTTTCCGATTTTCTCACTGCCGAAGAGAAAGTTTATAGTACTTCTCGTAGCTCAAAATGTTAGTGTCAATTTGGTTTTTAAGAAACTTTTTAAAGCCATTAGAGACAAAGTTATTTAAACTTAACTGACAGTTCTGGAAAAACATTTCCATTTTTTGAAATTCCATACCGACGTTAGATTTTTGTATATCTTCGGACTCGTATGGGCTACATAGCTGAAACTTTTACCAGCAATGATACTTTATAAACTATATTTGCTATAGAATTTCAGCTCTGTTGCCTATACGGATCGAAGATATGATGGGCAAAGGTTGAAAATTTTAAATTCCGTAACGCATAACTACCCCTAGTTATGTTACAGTCTATTGTATAATAAACTCAGTGAAGATAGAATTTTATTATATCTGGTGATCTTGTATGGGGAGTCTTTCTGAATCGTAAATGACATTGTTCAAGTGAAATATCTTCGCATACTTATAACTTATCTTCATTAGTCCATCTATGTCAGACAATAGTATTAACTCTATCCTTTCTTGTCCTAAACTAGCTGTCACTCTCGCCTCATTTAACAAATTGTAATCTACAGTTCTTTCTCCCCTACTTTTCTGAAAACCTTTTTTTGTTGAGGTAAACTGAAACATGTCGCACGAGGCATTTCTGTGCTTAGATGAAAGCTGAAGAGAGCGTCACCAGCTTTCGCTATTTTACCATTCAGATCCCTTATTTCCTCTGGAATTTTGCACGTTCCATCCACTAAACCTTTTCTAACTCTGTGGTAACTCAATCGTTAGATTTGAAAACTTTCAACCTGCAAATGTGTTTTAGAAATACGGAGAGGTACATATCGCATGGGTGCGTCGGGAGAAAGTAAGTAAAATACCTAACTTTTTTGCTATATGGAAATACTACTTATTCTTTATTATATAGGAACCATCGCCAACGGATCAACAGAAAAAAGACGATTGTCAATTAAAGATGGTTAGCAAAAAGGTGATCTGTTTTACGAAACTGGGTTGAAACAGGATACTGTTATCTGTTATTTAGTTTACAAATAGTATAGACAACATTCAAACGTCTCCGATTATAAAATCATCCCAATTAATATCAAACACTGCTGTCAGTATACACTTCTGCTAGATTAAACTTGGACGATGCACACTGAACTATTTTTCTAGGCAAGCTCGAAATCACTCATTCACCATGCCGATATACAAGTCAATACGTCGGCGTCAGTGGTAAGTCTGATTATTTTGATAATTTATGTGAACTACATATGGGGCTATCATTGAGTTAACAAACGTTTTTCATAATAATTAGCATGAAGTGTTAGGTGTGTGACGTTTTAGACAAGAAAATAATATATAATAAGTCGAAAATGACTGATATTTTCGTTGAAAACAATCCAGGATGAATGCGGATTAGAAAAACTGAAAAACCTTTTTCAAAATATTTATTTAGAAAATTTTTTTCTTCAGGACCGTCAGATGGAGTTTTTAACCTGAATTCCCAACTCTACTTGAAGTACAGATCCTGTTAGAACAAAATCAGTTTTGCCATGCAAAGCTGGGAAGGAACTCACTGGCTCCGCCTTTCATTAAGGTCTCTAATCTAACCGTAACCGAATAAAATTTTCACTACAGTAGGAATTCTGGTATAGGAATTTCGCAGTTTGCTCGTTTATATGAAATTAGCTCGTAGGTCATATAATATAAAATGTGTTTTCGATTTGTCTAAGAGTGTACTATTCGAGTATGATACTCACAAGTATCAATTTGCGACCCTTTCATGTCTTTTTGAAATTTTTCAATGAAAATTCGACAGGCTTTTGACAGTGTCGAATTTGCAGCGAAAAATTTATCGACTTTTTAGTCTGTTGAAAATTTTCACTCGAAATTCGATAGTGTCGAAACACGCTGTCGAAAACTGTTTCTGCAGAACTGGAAAGTACCTTTTTCGTTCTAACAGCCAAACGCGCAAAGAAGGACTGTCGTACTCGCAACAATTACCATGCAGATTGTACTATGATAAAAAAACGTTATAAGAGTTTATTTTCTCGGTGTACATTATTATTAGCCATTATAAAGTTAGATATGAAATAAGGATAGGGTTAATTATATTTGATCATTAACATCACCACTATCGAAAAACTGAAAATGCGTTTTCTTGACAAAGGAACATATCTCTTCGAAGAACATATACTTGCACTGTGTCCGCTATAGATGCTATACATTGTGTACACTGTTAGATACGTAGCATGATTTTCTGGCCTCGTAGCTGAAGCTCTGAATCTTGCTGATTGCAGCATTATTATGTCTATGAAAAAAAATTGTTTTTCTCTGCAATTGCAAAAATATGTTTTTAATTTGATCCACCTCAGTTCATCTTGTATAGCATATTATTCCCATTATCATATCATATATTCTGCTATTTCATACAAAGCGTTACAGTGTATACTCACTTACAAGTATATTACGTGACGATAAATTATCTCATAGACAAAATGGTAGCATTTCCTATACCTACGTTTTTGTTCTTTCTGTTTCGAGCGCGAGAACGAACAGGAAACTAATAGTCGGCCGTTCAATAGGTGTGAAAAATAAATATTTTTTTTTCCACTTAAAGGCGTCTCGAAAGTTCTTCAATACATGAGTACTGGATGAGGGAAGAGCGATTTCTCTGTCACTCTTACCACTCTTCATACTTATTTCGTTTGTCAACAGTATTCTTACTTTACAAACATGTTTGTGTCGTTCATTTCGAATAACAAATCTGGGTGTCTATCTTATTTTCCTGTGTACTGCGAATTCAGCCTATTTCTCTATCTATTCCGTACTGGTTATTTTCCAACTAACGTTAGTTAAGGTCACTAATGCTCTAAGGCAATTTGGACGAGTGATCGTGTTTTCGGCATTGTTTTGTAATTCATGGTTATGTAATTACATTGCTTGCGAACGGTTCTTAATATAATGTTTTAATGTCAGTTTGTACGCCTCCTGGCTATGTTCAGCTGGGGATCGACTATCACTTTAGTCACCGTTCTGTCAGATATTATGCACACATAATGCTTTCAACTATGAGGGTTGGGTATTGTGTTTGCCAAAACTTTTCTCTTAGTTTGAAGTAAATCATAAACATCATATAAAGTGCAGGAACTTCAAGGAAACATCCAAATGGTACGATAATTTGTGAACGTTCAACAACAAATGTTATTTCTCGTCTTTAAAATACAGACTTTCAGTGGTGTTGTCATCATCTCTAGGTATATCCAAACGCTCGTGTCCTACGTTCTTTAGTTTATTGGCGGCGTCATTGTATTAGATAGTATCATTAAAACCAAGCTACATATGTGCAATCGGTCAGATTTCTGTTAACTGCTATTTGAACAAGCATCGAAACATCGAAATTTTTTCTACCCGTTCTTTCTTTATAGTTTTTTGGTTTATCATGATATATCTATTTTTGTCACTTACTGTGCTCAATCCAATACGCGCTTAAAATATCCATTGGAGTAGTGTGCTCTTTTTCCTTTGTGTTCTTTGTGTTATTTAGAGAAAAGTGTCTCCGATTAGTACCAGGACAATAATTCAACAAGTAAGAAATATCCGAAAAGTGAAAAGTAAAGAAAGGTAAATGTGAAAGGAAACAACTTATTGATTTTTCATTTTTATCATGAGCTTTGTCTTCTAAATTTGAGTTCCAAATTTGCGCGTCCGTCATGGATGACAAAAAATGTATTAATTGGCAGTGGAATTGTAGCAGGATTAGTGATTGTTGCAGCTGTTGTGATACCAATAGCAATCATCTTCAGCACAAGTAAGTAACGTCTACTGAAGAAAATCACCTGGCATATTATCTCTTTTAAAACTATAGACTCAGTGGCAATGACAACAACCACAACGACCACTGCACCGGTGGTTCTTGCTTACTGGAATATGGAGGGTAATGGACGCGACTTATACGGCAATTATAATGCATCAGCGAACGGTGCCGGATATACTTTCGCATCATCAGGATTCTATGGTGGTTCATATTTTTCCACAAACAGTTTAAACAGTTATTTGCAAGTGCCTGCCTCATCCTATTTTGATTTAAATTCTCGAAGTTTTACATTTGAAGCATGGATTTATTCTTACTCCCTAACGAATGATCAACCATTATTTAGTCAATGCACATGCACTAGTTGCACAAACCAATGTTTATTTTTGGTAATTCGAAGTAGTAAATTATATATGGGTTTTAATTTTAATGATTTACCCGGTTCAACAACATTGTCTACGTCGATATGGTACCATGTCGCTTTCGTTTACAATTATCAAACGTCTCAACAAATTATTTACCTTGATGGTGTCCAGGATGCAATTCGTTCGAATGTATCCCCCTATCTCGGAACAAATGGATCAATATATTTCAGTTATTCACTACTCTTACCATCGAATTATTACTACGGTTTGATCGATAACGTACAACTGACTACACGTGCAAAAAGCACATCGGAAATATTAAATGATGCTACTCAAGTATTTTATTTTTCATTCGATCAACCAAGTCCCTACTATGACAACGGTCCAAATGGTTTAAATGCAACAACTACTAGCGGTTTAGTACCTACATCTGGGCATGTTGGACAAGCCCTTCGCTGGACAAGCAGTAGCAGTTACATGCAAATATACTGTTTTCCCGGAGTTGGTTGGCCTTCCAGTAAGTCGTTTACGTTTGCTATATGGATATATCCTTCATCTATAACTGGCGGTGTTCTCGTGTATAGTATTCAGGGATATTCGATGCTTGGCTTAACGTACATTGGACAGATAGTTGGCCAACTTCAACAAGCAAGTCCTGTGAATGTTTGGGAAAGTATATTTGGTCCTTTTCTCCAAATTAATACTTGGACTCATGTGGCATGCACATTTAGCGTAACAAATGGTTTTATTTTATATGTTAATGGTGCAGCACAAGGTAAAATAACGGGTTATGTCACGTACTATTTTAATTACAATCTCCAAATTATCCAGCTAGGAACTAGTAGTAGTGGTGGTAACATACCATCCTATGGCTATCAGGGATCAATGGATGAATTGTATGCTTATAGACGGGAACTAAGTTCCTCAGAAATATTAGCATTAGCTAGTGTATAAATAGAATACAGCAATATTTTAAGTTAAATACTTGCATATGTTCGCAACTTATCTTTAAAGACAATATCTTTCATACTCCACTGGAATAACTTTTTTATAATAATTTTTCATCAAATCTAATTAGTTTGAAAGAGATGTTGCCGTGGCAGGCAATATGAGTATAAATGAGTTGCAAGCAAGTTGTAATTCACTTACAAAAATATAAAGCAGTTTATCTGTACGAATCAATAGTTGGAGATCTCCTCGTTAAACACAAAGGACGTGTACTTATATATTGTCATGAGGAAAGAAATATGTGTTTCAATATATGCGTTTATCGAAAAGGAAGAAATAGAAAAAGATGGGCGTGGAAAGCGATTAGATCACGAGTATATTCCAGTCCGAGCAATAAAAAGTTAACCGGTTATCTCCCAATAGAGATATAAAGTCGACTAAAATTTGTTAATAATTTGTATTCGAAAAAATAGTTGCTGGGCGCATGATACACTTTTGATCAAACATAACAGAATTCGATGTGGTCTTTCGAGCTCTTTCTCCTTTTCCTCCATATCGTCGTCATTTTTCTCCTAGTCGTTTTTACAATGAAATTTCGTGTCTTATATCCCGATCGGGATATAAATTCAACTAAAATTTGTTAAAGGTTTTTGTTCGAAAAAATAGTTGCTAGGTGCTTGATTCACTTTTAGTCAAACACAACAGAATCAGATGTAGTTTTTCGATCTTTTTCCAATGGTGACGTCAAATTTTCATCAAAATGTTGTCATTTTTCCCTTAATCGTTTTTACGACGAAATTTTATATTTTACATCCAGATCGGGATATAGGAGGTGTCCCCTTACTGTTGGAGTGCTCGAAAATATGCTTTGAATAGGCCCTCGCCGAGGGCTCGACCTCTCGAAAAATGAGACTTTGCACCCTCGATATAAGCTTGTACAACTGATAGAATGCGAGAATATTCTCAAATTTATCTTGGAGTAGAATGTTATCAGCACAAATAATCCTACCATTCTATTGCTTTCTCTCCACATGTTGAATATGCCAAGTCCTTTTTATCGTCTACTCTATCTCTAAAAACAGCAGTGCACTTTTTCACATTTTTGTCACATTTTCATTTTCACAAATCAGTTCTAAGCCTCAGAAGCAATGCTTTTTGGCACCGAATATAAAAGCATCAGTTTAGGTGTAGTCAACATCGATTTGCATAACGTCATTGAAAAGCACAACGAACGCGTCCATTTCAACTGGCGCGTATATATTTCACCCCCATATATGTACCTTCAAACTTTGTCCGTTTAAAGAGGACACCTGACTACATATATCCTCAAGTTCTTTCGATGAACTGATAAGTATTCGCAGAGTTGCTAATTAATTAAGTTTAAATTTTAATTAGAATTTGGGTAGCTAGTTCCCATTTTGTAAAGCTTGTAGATCGGTTAAAAATAATCGTAGAAATGTCGTTCTCGCATTGTTTGATAGCCAATGAGCTATTGTGATACTTTCATAGGGAAACAATTTAAAAAAGCTTTTTTAAGACACTGATTTGTAATTATTTAAAGCTAATTAGCACCACTCTGGTACATTGCATCTTTATTTGCAAGCTAACAGTTTATTGTAAGTCATTAAGTAGTGCATGATTCGAAAGCTCTTTCCAAGCGCTACAAAACCCTATATTTGTTTTTGCAAAAAGTTGTTCATAACAGACCTTTGGAATCCTTTTTAAGTGTAGTGGATTTGTCAAGTACTTATGTGAATTACTGTTAATTATTATCGACGCCAAAAACAGCTTCCCGGGCTAGATTTTGAATAACTTTTGATAAAAAAGAGTTAGGGAACTCCGGTTTTCGCCATTCAAAAGAGGAGACTTGAAGACATGTTTCCATAATCAGCATTGTTTTCAGAAGAGATTTCTGAAACAGGCTTTCTAGAAGATCTTTGGAAAACTAGGCCGGGTGAAAAAATTTTCCAATAGGATTGCATTGCTTTTTTCTCATAGGATGATAGCTCGAGGTGTCCTCTTCAAAGTAGGAGTAAAGACAGATCTTGATTTTCCAAAGCCTTCGGATATTATTACTGTTGTCCACTAAACGTGATTATAAGATCTTTGCCATGGCCTATTATCGTTCAGTATGCGGTTTTTGCACTGAGCTACTAAATGGTAATAAGTAGGTTTGGGCTGCTAGTTTTCTATATACGATGGTCCTGCAGTGGGGTACTTGTGTAAAGATAGTCACATCAAGATAATTAGCTGTTTTGCCTATCTCGTATGTTAGCTTAATATTTTCGTCTTTCTCATTAAAGTTTCTGATAAGGTAATGTGGAGGTGAGAAAAATGTCATCTCGGAAACGAAGGTACAATTGTCCTTCGCTTTTCTACAATGCGAGAAGGTTCTTTTACCCATTCATACATGTATACATCTGCTAACACTTGTGTTACCGCACTACCCATGGCTCCTCCTTTTGTTTGTCGATAAAAACGGTTTTCATAGACAAAAAAGGAGTGTTCAAGAACTAGTCTTGTCAGTTGGGCAAATGTATCAACGGAAACATTGTTGATTTTGTAGTTTTTAGTAGTGGCAAGCATTCGGCAAAGAACTGATATGGCGCCTTTTTGAGGGATGATAGTATATAAATCTGTGATGTTGAACGTTACTAACAGTTACTAACAGTCTGTTAGTAACGTAAAAATGTAAAATTTTTATGTCTTGGATCCAATGATGTACCTAATAATGTACATTTCTGTTTATATATATGTGAAAAACGTGATTTTAAAGCACTTCTCAATTTAAAGCACTTATGACAGACGATGGTGAAGATGATACTGGACTATTTACGGTAGTTACACGATTTTGAATTATATTAGGTGAAGAAGGCGTAGTGGTCGTCATTCAAAATAGAGTTGAGTTTTGATAAGAGTTATT